TACTTTCAACTCTTTTTAAGTGTTTATCTGTGAACACCATCCTATATACATGGACATCTTTTTCTCTTTCAACATAACATGCCTTTCCTCAGAATACTTGCACATTAATTTTTTAAGTAAGTAGCTAAGTTCAGATTGACTAAATAGCTTTACTTTGATGGATATTTATGTAGATCCCTGGTCCCCAAGAAGAACTGTAGTGTGCATTACATACAAATGAAACTGCCACATACTAAAATCATGGATTTATCTTATTGAAGTCTATCTCATCATATTCCACATAAATGACTACTTTAGGTAGGAATGGCAACAAAGTGCATAAATTTTATGGCCTGATTACATATTCCCAAAGTATATTGAAAAATTTGATCCCACATTTGACAGTGTTGGAAGGCAAGACCCTTTTGAATGTGTTTAGGACACTGAAGTGAGTTCTTTCTCCCTTCTGCTCTTCTATGTGAAAACACAGTAAAAAGGTCTACATGGTAGTCTAGAACCCTCCAGGACTTCTTAGACTCCTGAACTGCAAAAAGACAAAAAAAACCAAAAACCAGTTTCTATATACTACAAATTTGTCTGTGATTCCCTACTAAGGTAGTATAGAATGGACTAAGTTAACACAATAGGTCATTAAAAGATGATTTACACAAAGACTTTATCAGAAATGGAAATAAAATGCAATTAATATATTATTTTTATCTAATCAAATAAATTGGATATTAAATATAAAAAAAGAAGAGAAGAAAAAGTGCACATTTTTCACCAGGCTTTGAGAGCTTTACTTCCCTTGTATTTATGCAGACTGCAGTAGCTGAGTAGTTTGGGGTCCCTGCACAAAAGGCGACTGATGGGATATTGTGGTTATTTTTCATCCACTGGAGAAGAACTCTTTATGAATATGTTACATTGCAAGGGTGAGCATTTAAAAATTGTTAGACTTTAAATGACTTATAATTTCCTTAGATATTAAACTTTTATAAGTACAACCTGGCATTTTATTTTCTTTTTGAATAGGTTCTCATTCTCTAGCCCAGATCATTACAGGTCTCATCGTGGAGTCAGTCTGGAGCCTCGAACATGAAATCATCCAGGGTTCTCCACCTCCTGGGTGCTGGCATTAGAGACAAGAACCAGTGTACCAGGCTCACCATGTATTTTCATGAGATCCAGAGTTCTGGTGATGATGTAATGCTTGCTTTCTGTAGCTTTTTCTGATGCTAATTTCAGAACACAAAGGGAATCACATTTCCTTTGCTTCCCTGTGAGCAGTACTGTCCATATAGTCTTTGCAACCTTTGCTCCACATCAGTCAGAAAGAAAGCTGGAACTGCTGGGTGTTTTTTTTCCTCCTTGGTTTTGCTCATCATCTTTTAATGCTTTGCTGTCTTTCCACTTTTATCTGAATTTTTACAGCAAGATCAGTGGAGATAGCTGGCTGGAGGGGTTTTCTGTTCTCTTCTCTCTTATATAATGAACCCTGGATGTTTGTATTAGGATGCTCTTATACTGAATAGGAAACAAAAACAGACTTTCATACATTGCTTGTGTACCTGCTCTCCCTCAACATCCCATCCTTTATTTTCCCACATTTTGTTGTCAAATTTTTCTGTCATATTTTCTAATTTTGAATTATTGAATCATAAGATAATTCTGACTTCTTCCAAAGGACAACCCTCTTATCTGTAGGATTATATCCGGAAAGTTCATATAAACTTGCACCCACTTGATGCAACAGAATTTACATCTTCATTTCCCTCCCTATAAGTTCTTTTCACCATTCCCCTTTAATTGTTGGTCCTCTCATATATTTCTCCAGAATAAATTGATATTATGAAACTGAAATCTTTCACTAGTGATTTCTGTCACCAATAAATAAAAGTTGTCTTTCTATAGTCATATGAACTAGTATTTAATATGAGTATTTCTTTTATTAAAACTAAAAGATACAACTTATGTAAATAATTTTGCAGTTAATATGCTCTCAGTAAATAGTATCTATTATTAGAAATGCTCGTGTTACTATGATTATTATAGTTCATTTACATTTAAGCTAACATCTTATTCTTTTTTTCTGTATTGGACTTCTGACATTGAAGAGACAAGAAGAGATTATGACAAGAATAGATTGGATGGTAGAACTTGGCAATTTTTCTAGCAATTGGAATTTACTTTTTTCACATCAATAGTTAATCAAAAATGTCCCATAGTTATTCCCACATGCCAATTTGGTAATATCTCAATTGAGCTCCTCTCTTCCAGGGCATGGCTGAAGCTAACTTTGTCACCAAATGATAGCATGGAGGGCAATGTTTGTTTTTCAAAGATGTCTTCTTCCACTTATACCCTGGTACTTCCCTTCCTTGTTGGATATTGATCCTAACAATTTCCATGGAATTGTAGAATAGTACACTTCTTAGCTGGCTCTGGCTCCTCCTCTATTCCACCTACCCTCTCTGTCTCTCCTTGAAATGTATACATAAATACACACAGAGGACATACTCATTTTGGTGATGTGATTAGTATGAGTTGTATCATGCTTTCTCCAGGACTATCTATTGAGTCGTAATGTCTACTACTTAGAGTGTGATTTTATTTATAAAAAGACTGGGTCGTTTTAGAGGCGATCAAGTAAAAAATGAGACCATTATCATGGGTTTCCAAGTAGTGTGTTGATATCTTCATGAAAAGTGAGAATTTGGGTACAGAGACAACATGCTCACAGGAAGACAGTGATGTGAAGAGATGTAGGGAGAAGACAGTCATCTTTAAGTTGAGAGCTGACCAGATTATACTTTATCCTCAGGGCCTGCAGAAGGACCAACATTGAATTCTGAAACTGTGGGACAATACCACAGTTTTGGTATTCTGGGTAATCCCTGAAGTCTATAATGCTTAGTTGTGTCAGGACTAGCAACTAACAAGGCCCAACAGATAGTTGCTTTAAGCAGGATGTGGCTGATGAGAGTGTTGCTTCTTGCTTAGTTATTTCAGACAAAGGAAGCTGAAGTTGTACTTTCTGGAGCATTCTTTCCCCGGGATCAACTTTTAAAACTTGTTTTGTTTTATATAACCGTGATGTGGTGACTGGAGACCTACATTTGAGTGAAGAGAGAAAGTGAATCTCCTTTTCCACTGTCACCTGTAAGCAGACCCCTCCTGCCAGCTGTCATTAAGGGAAAGATGCAATTGGCTTTAGATTCTCTCTCACTTGTTGGGAGTGGTGGGGCAGTGGGGTGACCGGGTGTGGAGAATGGTGTCTAATGAGTGCAGGCAGAAGCTCCAGAGAGGGCGAGGATGGAGCTGTTCATCCTAGAAAACACAGACCCACCCACCCACTGTGTAGCTGTGTGCTCAGGCGAGTGTTACTGAAGGAACAGCTCTAGCAGAGGCTGCTTTCGGGCGGGGGTGGGGGGAGGACCAAATCTGTAGATCCAAATCTAAGCTGGTCGCCTTCACTTTCAACTGGGTGAGCTCCCCCAGTCGTCCCCCCCACCCCCCGTCCTCCGGTTAGTCTCCTCTCCAGGCACAGCCAGCTGGGCTGAAGGTCTGCGGCGGGGTCGGGCTGCGCCAGCTGGACCCGCCCCGAGCTCCATGGTTCGCCCAGCCCCACACGATGGTGACTCTGGGCGCGGAGGGTGGCTATGGGAGAGCCGGCAGATCGCAGCAGCGTGAAGGCGGGGAGCGCAGCGGGCGGCGGGCGGGGACTTTCTCCTCGACCTCAGCACCCGAGAAGCGGCTCAACCACCTGAACCCCAAAAACAACAACAAGTAGTTTCTCCTTTGAGAAGGGCGGCTCAGCTGGCCGCAGAGACTCCGTCCGGCTGCAGGGAAAACCTCATTCACTCGGAGACCCAAGAAGATCCACTTTTCTCCCTGTCTCCTTAAGGTATCCGGGGGACCAGGAGGGGGAGAAATGAAGGGCGGGGGAGGCGGGGCTCACCCCCCCCCCCCCCCCCCCC